TATATATATATATATATATATATATATATATATATATAATTTTTAAGCATCCAGCCTTTCTTTTCAAATTTCCAGTAGAAACAATGAAGCTTAATTTACTGGTCTACCCTTGGTGAGCCTGGAGTGAGTCCAATTACACATGATGTATCCTGCTGCTCTCCTTTCATCTGTCAGCGAGGAGCATATGAGGAGCACAACCCTGTCACCCCCTTCTACCCTCAGGTCTGCCCACCCTCTGCACAGACAGCTTGAACTACCCAGCAGGAGTCCTATGTGTCAAGGGCACGATCCCTCGTTGGTTTCATGGTTCTGAATAAAGCCACACTGAAGACTGAAAAAATAAAATAAAAATAGAACATTCACCTCACTCCAACGCCACAAACCCCAATTAATATATTGCATTTCCAGCAATTACACATCACACAGCTCCTTGTTGCTCTGTTAAGTTTTATATCAGTTTAAGCCCACTCTGTTTACTCACAGCTCCTGTGTACAGTGTATTAGGCCTGTAATTGTTGAGACGAGAACAGCCAACTCAACCAGTCTTCCATCTGAATGCTATCTGCTTGCTAAATCACTTGTGACTGAGACAATTAGTTAAACAGCTCTGCAGCCAAAACAAGGAAATGCACTCTCTACTTGTTCACACAGACCTCACTGAACAACACACTGCACCTCCAGTATACCACTGATACTCACTGAGCAGCTTCTCTGGAGCGGCTGAGAGTTCAGAGACAAGGGAATTTTGTAAATATAATACCAATAGGTGGCTCAGTCAGTAGAGCCTCTCAGCAAGAAGGTTGCCAGATCAAATCCCGGCCAGGGGCCTTTCTGGGTGGAGTTTGCATGTTCTCTCCGTGCATGCGTGAGTTTTCTCCAGGTACTCCGGTTTTCTCCCACAGACCAAAAACATGCATGTGAGGCTGATTGGTAATTGTCCCTAGGTGTAAGTGAGAATGATTGTTTGTCTCGTTGGTCTCGATGTGTCTCTGTGATGGACTTGTGACCTGACCAGTGTGTCTCCCGCCTCTTGCACAGTGATAGATGAACATGGGCACCAGTGACCCCCAGGACCTGAAATGGAAGAAGCGAGTAAAAAATATGGATGGATGGATTAATTTAGTGCCTTTGTTTGCAGGAGTGACTGAATAATGGCTAGTTTTAAATTATCTAATATTTTCTTCCTATTGCACTGTTCTAAAAGTATGTCTTATTATAACAGAACATTGTTTATGAAGAAAGCAGAACAAGAATTATTCCACCTACAATCTGCAAAGAAAATACCTTAAATGTCAAAATTACTAAAATGGTTTCAAACTGAATTCAAGCAGAAATAACAATACATAAATATACATTCCACTATTAAGAAGCCGAACACAGAGAAAGAAATGGCACATGTGAAAGCCATGTCTGTATTTTTAATTTTGCCTTGCTGAAAAATTGGCACAACTTCCGTGCAAGACTGATAGCTTAACATTCGCCATGGTTGCCAATAAACTGACCTGGATAAGGCTCCAGTTGTCCGAACATCCAATTATCCTCCCGCACAAAGAGTCTCACGCTAAACCCATTACAAGCTTTGAATATTACATTTCAGATGTGTGGTTGGCAAATGAATATGTCATTAAGCGAAGTCACAGAGTGCAAGGAATCGTTAGAGTTGGAATTAGATTCTCTATGAAACTGATTTCACACACAATCTTTGAACTTATATGCAGAATACAAATCTGTATGTTTATGTTGTCTTTATTTTAATGTTGTTGGATCAGTAGAAAGATTCTTCACATAAAACTCATTATATTATGCTACAACTTATGACTTTATTGCATTTGCTGCGAAACTGAATCTCCATTCAGCATTAAACATGGAACACAAAACTTGTTGTGATTCTTGCACAATTTAAAAAGATACTCTGCTTTTATTGCAGTAATATACCGTACAAATCACACAGATAGGACTTATGAAGAAGCACGTTCATCTACCTTGAATTTCCCAACAAACCCTTTTATAGGTGCAGAACTGCGCACGTGGCAGATGAGAACTCCATAAGTGCTGGCAGTGCCCCAAGCAGCGTCCGAATGGGCCCAGCTGTCACGCTGGGAAAACATTATCAGGCGCACCTAAAGTCATTTCGCTAAACGCTAAAGCAAGCTATTTAAAGCAGCCATCGCTCCACTTATTTGTTCAGCAAAAAATGCTCAATTCTTCAGCCCAGCATTTGCCGCCTGGTTTGCGGCATTCATACTTGCTAATCATGTTAAACAGTGGAAGAGACACGATTCAGAAGCAATATAAACAAGCCTCTAAGCATCAGACTGGAGGCGCAGCAGGCTTGTCTCACGGTGCACAGCTAAAACGCTCCATCCTGCACTGATTGTAGGAGGTGTGGCGTGAGGGCCCGAGGCTGCGCTGCTGAGGGGAGAGCTGTAAACTCTTCCCAGAAGAAAAAGCAGAGAAACATAAAGATATAAACAAAATAACACAGGAGAGCAACAACTTACACACATTAGAATCATATTTTTCATTGGCAGCCCCAGAGGCCTCATTTCAGCTTGTTTTGAGCCTAATTAGAGAGCAAAAGCAGTGGGAACTAAATTTACTTTTTGAGGTTAGAGACTCCCGATATTTAAAATGTATGGCATGTTGGCGGCTGAAGAACAGTGAAACTGACAGGTTTATATCTTTGCACACAGTGTGGAGACAAGGTGCCCGTGGCAGAAATAATTGAGGAGTTAGAAAGTTTCAAATGATTTCAGTTTCACCGACTGCGGTACTTCAACATAAAGCTTATTCAACAGCAAATAACAAGCCGAACACCACTTGCTGAGGCTTACCCTGTAGTAGTCGCTGCTGTAGATGTCCCTGGACATGCCAAAGTCTCCAATCTTGACCAGAAGGCCGTTGCCGACCAGGCAGTTGCGGGTTGCCAGATCTCTGTGCACAAAGTGCTGTGAGGCCAGGTACACCATGCCTGAGGCAATCTGAGTGGCAATGTGCAGCATCTGAGAAAGGCCCAGCTCCCCGTTGGACTGCAGCGGCTGGCCGTCAACCAGGATCATGGCGTCAGGGCCGTGGGCTCTGGGTTGGAAAGAACCAGTTGGAGTGGTTTAATAAATGGCATCGACTAGAGTGTTCTCTAATATCCAGCACTCACTGGACTAGAGAACAGTCATGCAGACAGGAGCAAAAACATACAAATATGGCTTAAATGGGTTTAATGCAGTGAATGGTGCAATAGTGCATTTAATTGCTTATCAAATTTACAGTATTTTTATCTGAAGCAGATATGCTGTATTCATTTTTTTTTCCAAGGTGTCAGCCGCTGTTTGTCACAGGATGACGCAACCCAAAGCTCTGCATTGCACTACAGTAATAAAGTATTATCTTCATCCCATTTGTGCTCCATTCCACTTATTCAGGACATTTAGCATAATAAAGAGAGAAAAAAATTAAAACAAGGGAAGCATTAACAAATTAACTATAACCTGCGAGCAATGATGCTGCTTTAATTGCACTGATTAATCGTTCTGTGCCTGGACTGTTGTGGATAATTCTGTGGCTGTAACATGAGCTTCAAAGCCTGATTTTAATACAGTACTTACATGTACATGTTAGGAATTCTAAGTGAGGCAGTGAAATTTCATCCAGATACTGAAAGTTGGAGGTTTACCAGAATGGGTTGACTGCAGGTTTCTGGGTGACACTAAGGAACTCATTTCCTGTGAAGTGTCCCCGCTGTTCTCATCACCTTCCTGTCATTGTGATTACAGAGCAGGCGCCACGCAGGAAATACTGCGGCTCTGCCACTCCGCCTCAATTTCTAGCCCCATTTTGGAATTTTAGAGCTATTCGGTGTTCTTCGCTTTGGCGTTTGTGTGATGATTCAGCTCCTGTGTAGGAGAAATTAGTGGTGCTTTTTGTTGTAGCATCTTTAGTCTCTGCTCTTTTTGTTTCCACTTCGCCCACGTTCAGTAATGCCTGATTAAACGCAGGCCGCCCCCCATTTATATGGAGGTTGACCTGCACATCTGATCTTCTGTTCACTCCCATTGATTCCGTGCACATTTCATCTTTTAAATGTGACCAAAAAGGGCCAATAGATGAAGAATCAGCGACGTCTTGCACTGTCCATGAAAGAATTTCATCACTCGCGACATTGCCTTTCATTTCAAGAATGATTTCCCAACAGTAAATCTTCACGAGCTCACAAGTCCACACACACACACACACACACACACACACACACATACTCGCCCTCACACTCAATCATAACATGTCATCTTTTCATCCACTGCTCAAGTTTTCGAAACAAGAGCGACCACACACACACACATCGCTGCAGCTGCTGTCAGCACACTTGAAACAGCACTCTTCCATCTCTGACTCCTCTCAAGCGCACTGACATCAGCTCTACTGAAGCTTCCCATTACCAAAGCGCTTGCTGGTGCAGCGTCGTGTTGCTTTTGTTGAGGCTTTTCAGAGGTCGCTTCCTTCTGCACAGACTTGACAAATATAGAACAAAAGCACCCCGGCGTGCATGTTTACGAAGCCAGGCAGCTGAGAGAAAGGGCTGGAGATATTATCACCAGCGCGACTGGAAGATAACTGAGTTTTAGGACTACTAAAATATTTTCCCAAACAGCGCCAACCAGAGTAAATCAATGCTAAATAGCATTTGCACACCCATTTGCATACCCAGCTGTGTTTGATGTGAAATGATACAGTTTGAGTGAAACCCTGACCTTAGAAACTTGTTCAGGTCTCCATGCTTCATGTATTCGAACACCATGATGAGTGGGTCTCCGTCTACACACACTCCATAGAATTTAACGATGTGGTCGTGCTGCAGGTTGGTCAGCAGCTCCGCCTCCCGCTGGAAGTCCTTTCTGGCCGATAGGTTTGGATCTTTCAGAGTCTGAAATGGTAAAAGGAAAGTCACATTCACACCTAGAATAGAGGTGAACATTAGACTGGAATGCAGCACTGGTCTAGCCTTATTGGTGAAATCACTTGTTGCAAACCTTTGGAGTTTCTAGGGAAAATTAAAAAAAAAAAAAGTTGAGCAATTGCAATCAGTTAGAAGCATAATCTCTCTTTGATCCTAAAGGTGGTTGCTAAGAAAAAGTCAACATATAAAATCAACACTGAGCATATTGATAGCATTTGTGTCATCAGTCTTATGGGACCATCTTCTCCCACATTGAGGTATAGCCTGTTCTCCTCCTCCTTGGGCTGCTTTTATCATCTAATTAGTCACCTCAAAGTAGGTTAAAATGAATAATAGACAAAGAGCTGAAAACTCCTGGCTGGATTAATCATCGTGCTTGATGGAAACAATAATGGCTCACGGCAACATTAGTTTTCCAAGGCACAAACGTGTTTTGAAGCATGAACGTCACCATTTGTATTTCTAAGCGACAGAACTGAAACACTGAGGGCATTTAAATCAGACACCCAAAAACATGAAGAGTAAAATTTGGATTAGATGAGAACAATGCAGAATATTAGTTAAATGCAGTATGTTGTTTAAAGTATCTATGTAAATACACCATGCAGAGTTAAACGAAAACTCCTTACAGATCAGGTAATAACAGCAAATGGAAAATGAAGTGAAATTTACGCCCACGTGTTTGCAGGTGAATGAAATGCACCCTTGTTCTCTTGTCACAACCTTAAGCTTTTATTTACACAACAGCAGTTGACTTGTCAGTGCTATTATATATCCAGCAGTAAAATGTAAATACAATATATTTATGTAGCACTTTTTCAGATTTCTTGACGTCTCAAAGTGCTTTACATTTAAAGTCATGTTCAGCCATTTGCAAACATCCATACAGTGCCTTTTCATTTGTACACATTTATATTTAGGCTTCTTTGAAAGGTTTTCAGACCTCTTCACTTTATACATTTTATTATGTTTTCAATCAGCTTGCAGCCTGATGCTACAATTTTTTTTTTGTTAATCCCCACTAGAGTAACCCAAACAACCATAACTACAAGCCCCCATTAATCTGGACTTTATGGCAGAGTGGCAAGACAGCAGCCTCTTCTCAGTACAGAACATATGAAACATGATCATCTAACTGTTTGACTTCAATTTTCCATGTTATGTCTGGAGAAAACCAGACACTGCTCATCACCTGCTCAACACTATTCCTACAGTGAGACATGGAGGTGGCAGCATCATGCTGTGGATGCATTTTTCTATAGGAAAAACTGGAAATTTGTTAATGTGGAAAGTTGAACAGAACAAAATACAGATATTCTTACAAGTCTTTCTTGTAAACGAGACTACCTGTCTCAATTAGATTAACTGTCTAAATAAAAGTAGTAAATAAAAAATAATATCTTCAATGAAAACCTGGACCAAAGCAAGACCCCAGACTAAGGTCTGGGGTCTGAGGCCAAAGGTTCGCCTTCCAATGTAACAATGAGCAAAAGCGCCAAGTGAAGTGAACATATGAGTGTGTTCTGGTCTGCTTTCCTAGAGTAGACCTGACTCAAACTCTATCAAACATCTCTGGTGGGTGCGGTTTGAAAATGGCAGCCCACTATAGTTCTTCATCTAAACTGACTGAGCTTGAGATGATTTGCAAAGAAAAATGGCAAATAATCAAACCAGCTGAAAGAAAAGCAACAATTTGCCTTTTTTTTTTCCTCTCAGTGCTAATTTTTACAGAAATAATGTAAATCTAGTCAGTTTGTTTTCTTTAAACATGCATACGAGAGGTGTGCAGAAGCAATTTGTGTTATTTAGTTTTGTTAACTTCTCAGGAATATCTTCAAAAAAGTAAAGAAGTCGAAACATATGTTAAAAGGATGTCTGCAACTTATGTTGTATTTTTGTAGCATTTTGAGATATATAACAACTTCAGTTTACTTTAACTAATAAATCAGTTCTATTCTCATCACTGCTATTTATATAATATTATAGTTATAGATGATACATAAGAGAGTTTATGCTTATCAGCTTTGCATGCTGCCAACAATATTTAGGAAGACTGAATGGTGTGCAGCCCAGAGGGATGTGTCACCTTGGATTATTTACAGTCTGTCAGATGATGTCAGTCCCATTATGCAGTCTCTGTCCACAAATGCAACATACACACCTCAACCTTGAAAGCCCCCCCCCCCCCCCCAACCCCACATCCCTGCTTCAGATAAAAGTACATAATTTAACCCCTGCTGGCTGCTGTGTATTTGGCTAATAAATATATTCTTGGGGCATTGTTGCTTCTTACTGTTTTATCCTAAGTCCCTGGGATGCTTATTTATCCTTTTTTTTTTTTTATCAGTAAAATATTTGTCTCTTACCAACTAGAAGCCAAAGCTTTATTTTTGCAGCAGCCACATTGTAGTGATGTTGTAACTTGAACTTGTGCTTTCTCTTTCTATCGGCACTTTTGCATTGTAAAGCCCAGCACGGCTGGGCCTGGCTGCTGATGGCCTGCCCTTATTCCACTCTGGCCATGGTTGTGTTTGCTTTGAGCAGAATGCCACCTTGATGTGGGCAAGGATCATCATATCAAAAACGTGTCATGTCATATTGTTCGCAACAAACAATGGACAACATCGGCTGTCCGTGAGCAAGGTGAGGAATACACCTTCGTGGAGACATCCAGAATGGGTCTTGATCGACGGATTCAATATAGACAGGATCTGCACATCCACTCGACGTTTAATGTTTAGTGGGAGCCCAGCCCAAATGGAACCCCAGGTCTTAGGTTCCAGGAAATGGGCTGGAAGTGGGCCATAATGCCAAACGCATATACAAGAACCCGGGTTTGAACCCAGGCCAGGCCGAGACTTACAGTGCAAAAATGTCATATAAAAGCCCTGCAGGAACTGTGTTGAGCATGGGCATGCATGAAAGTTTGGTGATAAACTGTGCTTCACACTCTGTGAAATGATACGCATAACATATGAGAATAATGAGCATTCTTTTCTAGTATTTTTTTTTCTCTTTATTATTTGAGACTAATTATTATTGGAAATTTCATTTTGAACAGAAAGCTGTGACTGTGAGGTGTTTTTAGATTCTGATTACTTTTTCATTTTGAAGCTTACAACTTTGGATTAGTAAGATAAAATTCCTTTACAGTTTTAGTAAATTGTTAATCACTGGTACTGACTGGATTGATTAACTCTACAACCACTGACTAAGTCACTGTTTTCATACGGAAAAAAAAAGTGTAAAACCTGAAGTCAAGAATTTATTTTTTCTAAAATACAAATGATATGTTTGTGTTTTGTGGTGGCACACAACAACTACATAGGTAGATAAAGAAATTAACAGAAGTATTGACAATCTGTCAGTATTTGATTCTATTTTTGACTATTTTTTGTTAAAAAATGTAGATGTAGAATTGAACAGCTGATAGATTTTTAAGCCAAATAAGTTTTTCCTTGATCATGAAACTAACAGGAGCCAAATGTGACGACTACACCAGGGATTTTTTAAACTCAAAACAATTGCTAACAAGCGGTATGCAGATAGGCCCATTGCCGAGAGATTTAAATAGTGAATGTTTTTAGTTTTTGAGATGTGATTTTCTGGATTGGAATTAAACAGGGAATTGCCCAATGTGTCTAATAGTATCAACATGAACTCTTTCTCCAGGGAAACATCCAGTAATATGAATAATATGGAAAACTAATGACTCATCAAATACTCCAACTTCTAAAGTATTAAGACTTGATGACTTAGCTGCATCTTCCCACGGCCAAATTTGTGCAAGTGTGTGTATATAGTGTAGTAGAATCAGTATCCTTAAATTATTTGTCACTTGGTAAATGTATCGATGCAGTGAGAACTAGTGTCCTGATCAAAAAGCATTTTTTAAATTAAAACTCAGTAATATAGTGACGGTGAGGTTCTGTCCTCATCAATAGCTTGTATCCACACTCATGTCTGGTCAGCAGTCACATGAGGTGTAATGCTCTGGAGGAAGACGTGAAGCTGCACCAACTACACAGAAAAAAAGCTGATCTGACTGGTAATAAAAGAACGCTCCGAGGTGCTTTGAACCTGCCTCTGAGGTGCAGATCATAAAAGATACTAAATCACGATGGAAAACAGTTAAAGGCACAAATATCAGAAAATAAGCGATAAGAAATAAATAACATTTATAAGCCTTATTGCAGCCTTTTTCCTGGTAGAAAAATAAAAGACGACACTTCTGCAGTAGCAGGAAAATACACATAGTTGATCCCCTCAGCCTCGATTCATTTTCCCAGAATGCAGCTCACATTACCACAGATGGAATGACCTCAAGATGGAAATGTTTTTACTCTTATGTGCTCCTCTTTTTCAGCAACGTGTTTAAGGTGATGGAGATGTATGACAGTGCAGGTACAATGGTCATAAAATTCTATTACCAAATCAAACCACACAGTTAGAGAAATGTTTTTTGTCTGGGCAGTTCTCCAAAACAATGCCTCCAAAGTAGGGGTGCACCGATTTCAATTTTCAGGCCGATCACCGATCACCGATTTTTT